CGAGGCAGGAGGATCACAAGATGGATGCTACTGGGAGGCTAGATAATGAGTTTAAAGCTGGTCTTGGGCTACATAGAGAGACCTTGTCTCAGAAAATAAAACAAAGAGAAAGATAGAAAGAAAAATAGAAAAGAAAGAAAGAAAAACTTCTATGTTTAGATGAAGTTATTTTCCAGTAATTCTGTCTTATAATCAGAATGATTCACTGCCTACCAATTAGAGTACTAATTTTATAAAAACTAATGAAGTTAGTAAGCTTGATAGTGAAAAGGGAATAATATAAAGGTGATTCTGACACACTTTCTTAGTCATAGTCCGGACTTTGATTTGTTACTTGCTGTATCTCTGTGACAAAAACAGAAGCTCCTGACATCTTTAAAACTAATAAGGGGAGAGCCTGTCTGCCATTGTGGACCCGAGAAGTGGAGCGCGAGAGGGGGAAGAGGAGCGTGCAGGCGGAGGAGTCGGCCCCTGCCGCTGACTCTCGAGCGCGAGGTCCTCTTTTTGGTTTCTCCGCGACCTGCTGCAGCGGCGGTGGCTGGAACAATCACTCGCTGAGGGCGGCAGCCAACTGCTAGACCTAAATGGCAAGGAAATAAAGTTTCAGTACAAAACGGTTCGATTCATCAAAAAGATGCTGTAAATGATGATTTTGAACCATACTTAAGTAGCCAGACAAATCAGAGTAACAGCTATCCACCAATGTCAGATCCGTATATGCCTAGTTACTATGCTCCATCCATTGGATTTCCATATTCTCTTGGTGAAGCAGGATGGTCCACAGCTGGAGACCAGCCCATGCCGTATCTGACAACTTATGGACAAATGAGTAATGGAGAACATCATTATATACCAGATGGTGTTTTTAGTCAACCTGGGGCATTAGGGAATACCCCTCCATTTCTTGGTCAACATGGATTTAACTTTTTTCCTGGTAATGCTGATTTCTCTACATGGGGGACAAGTGGATCTCAGGGACAATCAACACAAAGTTCTGCTTATAGTAGCAGTTATGGCTATCCACCTAGTTCTCTTGGGAGAGCTATTACTGATGGACAGGCTGGATTTGGCA